TTGAACTTATAAGGCTGTCATAAAAAGCTCTTTTAGTTTCAAATACTTTTCCAACAATGATAATATCATTATAAGTACTATTTACAGTTACTATATTACAAACTTTAACTACATCAAATGTTTTGGTTAAAAAAAATGAGTCAGCTATTTTATCAACTTTCATTGTTATATTTTTTAGATACAACTTTTTATACTGCAACCCATTTATATTTTGTAATAAAGGCCCATCTGTGTGTATTCTTTTAAGATATGGAAATTCATTTATTTTTTTTGAGATATTTCCTTGAATTGGATTTCTTTCATTAAAACGTTTAACAATTTGCTGTAGTGGCTTGTCATGCTTACGTACCATTTTTTTTAAGCTCTTCAAATAGTTCTTAAAAGGAAAAGCACTAATATTATCCAATGCTCCAAAATATTTGTAATCGTCACTAATATGAAGGAGCCCGTGAACATTATAGGACATCAAATGTCTACCATAAATAATTTCAAAATTTTGAACAAAATAATTTAATAAGTTACGAGCATATTCTACATAATTGTCCATATTATCACTTAGCAAAATTGTCATAGATATATTTAGTGACATAAAATGTTTATAACAATCTGCATTAAGATATTTTTTGAAAATAATCTGACCAGTGTATATCAATAGCTGGCGTAATTCAGTAGCTTTAAACCTACTTAACTCATTCACTCCTCTTGGTTTACGAGAAAATTCACATGGCATATATGTTCTTAAATTCAAAAGAGACGATGACAACTGTTTTGATACAGAACTCTGGAGTCTAACATTTAATGGGCCATTATTGATCCATAAATGTAACAGCTTACGCATAACACCAAGACACGTGAGGTGCATATAGTCAAGACCAAATGAATCAATGATGTTAATAGGCAATTCAGATAATATAGAAATTGTATTTCCTACATGGTGTTCCTCATATTTTCTTATCAAATAATCATTATGTGTGCATTTAACTAAATTTGAGGAATAAGGGAAACAAGTCCTATTATTCAAGTACTCCCCCTCTTCATGACACCGTGTACAAGAATCGAAACCAGCATGTCCCTTAATCTTTAATATAAAACTTTTGGCAGGTGTGTCTAAACAAAAACCATCAATTTTTATTTGTTTAGTTGTACCATCAATATTTATACCACTAAGTAATAAATTTTTAGTTTCCATAACAAACTCATTTAAAAATTCATTGGAATCTTTAGGTTTCTCATGACCCCAGTATAAACCAATAATAAAAACAAAATCTTTAAATGGGCGGATATACCCTAATATCGGCCAAAATTGGATCGAGCTACTTTTAGAAAGCAGTAGACCATCTATTCCAATCACAATCTGAATTACATCAATATTATTAATTGGGTTAAGACAAAAATGATTTTTAACAGCTAAACCCAAACCAAAATGGTAATAATATCCTGGGTTGATATCAATAAGTTGTACAGATTTGTTTTCCATGTTAGACTTTAAAATTGTATGAGCATCTATCGGTATTTGTGTTAGACCAGGAATATCTTTGAAAATAGGCAGTAATCCATTAAGAGTATTATGTGGCACATTAAATCTAACCGCCCACTCAGCCAATTTAGATTTAACTTCAGAGCATAGATCAATGTGTGCAGTAATTGGTACAAAAGTAGTACATTTTTGTGGACTGGAATTCACACTTAATGATGAACAATTTAAGTTATCTTTATCAGGAATAGAATACAGAGAAGATTTATAATTAATTAAGCTGTTATTATTTTTAAAAGCTGGAGTATAAACATTGAAACTTTTTTCAGTCTCTGCATAGTTTTCATCGAGATTGTCATTTAAAAACACATGATGTGGGATCACATCAGACTTCAATTCACAGTCACTTATTTTGAAAGAATCGATTTCTTCACGAATTCTGCGTCGTTTAGTTCTTTCACTTGTCATGTTTAACCTTAAACATTTAAAATGAAGACCAGGATATATAGACGAGGTTAGTTTTTCAAGCCAGGATAATTAAATCCACAGTTTGCGTTAACTGGTAGGTATATATGCCTAATATAATATATAATAATAAACCTTATATAGCGAAACTAGAAGCACAGACTATATTCTAACGCTACTTGCGGACTAGAATCACGTTTCTAGTTTCGCTAGCCGCACTATAGTTATTCATACCGATATAATATCTATCCTTAGCCCTTTGGATCAAAATATGTAGGACAGGCACAGTTATAACTATTTTAATTTACATATTAAGTACCTATAGTATAAATTAAATAATGATGTAAAAATATTTATGATAACTATTTGAAAACAGGGTATAGGCCCGGGCACGCTACTGGGTTTAGTGAAAAACAGAAAACACGGAATTCTTACACGCATATATACCGGCGCAGCTATAGTACACGCTAATTGTAAAATATTATTGCAACATTTTTACTTACTGTAAGTTGTGTAACTAAAAATTTCCAAACTGTTTATTATTGTGGTTGAAAACGACGGCACTCTAGTCTCGCTGAACATGAAACTATGAAAGGCAAAATTCACAAGAACACTAGTGTAAACGAATAAATAGAATATAGATGCTAAAATAATGTAATTCAAGTCCGTTTATCGATATAAGATCGTTATCAGTACTCAATACTCAATATGGTCAATAGTAATATTATAACCCCTTGGCCATTGGTAAATGTATATATATATTATTTTTATTGGGAATATTCGTTTGTCATAAATATAGTATATAAATAGAAAACAATGATTTTGTCGTTATCTGCGCGTCAGTGATGCCGCGGTGTTGTGCACGATTTAATAGAGTATACTATCTTTAACCGTGACCACGAATTAAGAGCACCTTTTTATATTTGAGGTTAGCAATTCGAACACTTGATTAAGATTATCAGCTATCAAGGACGTGGATATAATATCACAGAACAAACAGAAGGGAATCTTATTTCATTTAACATAGGCTCTTATGGGAGATGATAAAACCACGTCCGAAATTTCTAAAATTTAAACGTGCTGCCACGTACCGGGAATTTCTCTTTTTTCTTTATATTGTGCAGCACTGTTTATTCGTTCAAATTTCTAATATATTATTATATTCAAACAATCAAACCGATTTTTTTTAAGAAATTGCATTTTTACCATTTATCTAAGTACAGAATCTAAGAAAAACAAAAACTATGCATATTTTATTTATCACTATATTTAGTTGATGAATGAACAAAAATGCATAGGTACACAGAAGATTACAAAAGAAATTACGTACGCTGGTTTTGAATAATCTAAGCAGTATTAATTTTATTTTATTTTTTTGGAACTTGTGTAATTAGTACACGCAATTGCTAAGACAAATTGAAGATTTATTCTAAATAAATATACTGGTAGAAGTATGTGACATTGTTACATAACCTGTACCTATAGTCAGTAGGAATACTTCAAATCCACATTTAATACTCTCTAAGAGCTGTAAAATTTAAATTATTACCCCGTATAAATTCAATTTATTTTTTTATTTTTTTGTAAAGTATCAAAAACAAATTACATCATCGTAACCAATTATTACAAATAATAAAACAAATATAACAATCAACAAGCATAACAAGTTAACATTATAATTTATTTAATAGAAAACTCAGACTTTGATAGTTACCAAATGAGGAATATTAATTATGAAAGTGCGTTAGTACTTGACTAAAAATTACAAAAAATAATAAAGTTAAAATAACAATAATGAGTGGAATTGCAGATTAACAGTGTAGCCACAAACCACAGAAAACTTTAAAAAAAAAGGGAATTTCTCGGTACGTGGCAGCACGTTTAAAATCTAGAAATTTCGGACGGTTTTTCGATGAGCCTTAAGATTCCCTTCTGTTTGTTCTGTGATAATATATCCACCTTGTCAGCCTGCTATAATTTCTTATCATGGGGTCCAAATTCTTATCAGGGGACCAACTGACCCCTTCCCGATGTGCGCGGGCGCGTGAGGCAACTCCTCGCATAATTATCCATAATATGTACAATTATAGGTATCTGTAGATAAATATGCGAGAAGTTGCGTTGCGCATGCGCATATCGACCACCTAATTCGCTGACTCGTTGCTGATATCGGCAATAATAAGCAATATTTTTTTGTATTGATTTAAATATTTAATACGCTATTCCTATAGTATATGATCTATTGATCTAAGGGTATAATATATATTGTACATTATATGTATGTACATATTATACAGTCATTTATTTATCATGAACTATTATAGTTATATCAAAATATAATACTGATATACTGATATACTCAATATATCTCGGCTAACTTAAGTTGTATATATTAGGAAACCTCACTTATTATTTATATTTGATAAAACACTATCAACTTTCGAATTTATAATATTGATTATTGTTTTAACATAAATATATTTTAGAAAATAATTAATGTATTGTATATGATAATTTGGTGATATTTTAAAAATATAAGCTTAAACCGTTTTTAAGATAATTAGTTCAAAATATATTTAATATAACTAAAAAATATTTCGTAAAAGATATTAATATTAAAATAAATTTAAAACCTTTTAAATACATTTTGCAAAAAATATTTTTGTATTGACGATTAAAATATATTTTATAAATATAGTCATCTTATAAATGCTATGTGGGTATATCTTTTCCGTGAATTGTTATCGCTACTGCTTCTAAGCTGGTTATTAGGTTTATTTGTGTACTGAAGAGAGTGTCGGAGATGTAGATGGACACACCTCCGCTGGAGCGGAGTGTATTTGTACGGTTTTTATGGTATCCTGTATATGTTGGAATGTTTCCTATTGAGTTATCATTAAAGTTGGTTTCTTGAAGGCATAATATTTTTGGGTTGTGTTTTTGGATGATTAGTTGTAGTTCGTTGTATTTTTTATAGAATCCATTGAGATTCCATTGTATTAAATTGAAGTTTTGCGAAGTCATTAATTAATTTTATGGATATTTATCTTGATTGCGTGTGTTAATTAATTTGGTGTTCTGATTTGTCATTGTCTTCATATGTGTGTAAGTCTAAATCGAAAAGTGCGTTTGACAATCGTGTTAAGCGGTTTTTAATAGCTTTGCTGTTTATAACCGGGTACACGAGTTCAATTATTTTAATTTTCTGATTGGGTTCGATTTTATAATTGTCGCATAGTTCTTGTTTATCATTGCAGGTAGGAGCGTTTTCTATTATAACTTTGAATTGCGTAAAACCGATTGATAAATTGCTGGCGTTTTTGATAAAAATTTGTTTTGCTGGTTCTAATAATGTATTAAGCTCGATGGTTGCTTGTGTGTTGTTTCGTAATATTTTGGCTTTTTTTAAGGTGAGGTCTTTATGGATTTTGGTAGCGACTGTATTTTGTTCGTTATCGATTACTATGTCTTCCTCAGAGTTACGGGACACCGTTGGAGAGGAGGGTGCGGGCCTTTTGTTATCGACGAATGATATGGGGTCGGTTTCCATATTATCGGTGATTTGTATTTCAGTGTTTTTAATTTGGTTCTCTATAGGGTGTTCTATTTGTGTGTTGCTTGCTTGGAGTGTTGTTGTTGCGAAGGTGTGCGTGTCGTTTATTTTTTCTGAATTGATCTGGTTTTTCATGGTTATTTCTGAGAATTCGTTGCAGCTGGATGACGTGTGTCCGATTTTTTTACATATGTAACAAGTTAGTGAATCGTTCGAGAAAAAAATTCTGTGATTCGCTCCTTCGTGGTTAATTAGTATAGAGTTTGGGAGATTTATGGTGGTTTCTGTGGATATGAACATTTGTCTTCGGAAACTTAGGATGTGTCCGAATCCTTCTTTTTTGACGCCGGCTCTGAGGTGAATTATTTGACTGGTGGGGTTTATGCCTATGTTGTTGAGTTCGCTTTGAATTGTTTCATTTGGGATAGTTGGACATACGTTTGATATTATTATTCTTTTGTCGGGGTTGAAGTATTTTCTTATTTTAATTGGTTTTCCGTTGATAATTATTGGTGTTGGGTGATTAACGACGCAGTCTACCAGTTCTACCGATGATAAGAATATGCAGAATCTATCTTTAGATATGCGTGACATGAATAATATGTTTTCAGGTTTTGTTATATCAGCTATTGCATATATATATATATTCATGTTGCTGAATGTCGTCAGTAATTTCAATTATTATAGCTTGCTCTTTTTTGGGGTTACGCGTTTTAGCTGTTGCATTGGCGAATGAGATTTGGATTTCATTGGTTTTTAAGTTTGGAGGTGATTGATTTGGTGAGGTTAGGTCTGGATTGTTGTTGTGCTGTGGAGTTGGTTGGTTTTGGGATTTGAGGTTTTGGGTGAGACCTTTTGATTATTGATAGGTGTTTTGTTTGTTTTATTGTTGGGGGGTGGATTATTTGGTGCTTTAGTAGCAAAAAAGTTGTTTTGGCCCCTTTTTATGGGCGATTTAGAATTGACGCTCATTGTGAATTTTGGTGTGAAATTACATTATTTAAAGTTCACTAACCTTATATTTGTTTGCTTATATTCGAGTTGAACCGTTAAAGACGTTATCGATGTGCAGATGGACTTTGCTGTGTGCCACCGTCTCGGTTGAGCTGAACACGCGAACTGAAGTATTAATTATTTTGTATTGCAATACAATAAATTATTATATTTTAATAATAAATTATTTTGTCAAATTTTTGGAGTTTGTGTTTTATTTTTTAAGACCTGGTTTTATTACAAAAATTAAAAATACCTAATTATAAAAATCTTATATTAGTTCTTTTACAAAATTGTAAATGGACTAAAAACGTAATTATTTTTTTTTTTACAATAAGAATCTAACCATCCCTATGTTTATGGAAATGTAATGTAAGCACCACATTGTGTATATAAATGGACAAATATTTTATCAATACATTTATTTTCATTAATATTGTAACCTGTAGAAACATGTTCTCGTTTTACAAAAACATGCTGAAGATTTGTTTTAAATTTCAAAACTTTAATTCATTAATAGGTTTTAATTTTTAGTCCTTTGACAAACTAGCCATTGTGTGTACTATGTCTAAGCTATTTTGCTAATTAACTACGTTTGTATTTTATTAGCCAGAATTTATTATAGTTTAAAACTATTGAAGTTGTAAGTTCAACTGTTTTGTTTTGAGTTTTTAAATATTCTCAAGTTTTAATATTTTCTATTCCAAATTTGAAGTCATATTAATTAATTTATTTGTTACACCAAGTATACATTTCCTTTAAAATTAATTAAGTGAGTATTTTTCTAAAAACTATATTATATGACAAAATCAAATATTAAAACTATGCATAATTATTATTAGTAGTAGCACCATGTCATCCCGTACAATGAATAGAAAACGTAGTAGTGTTTGGTACCATTTCACTGCATTAGATAACGTCAAGGAAAAATGTAAAATTTGTTCAGAAACAAAAAGTTTTAATGGTGGCTCAACATGAAACTTGTTACGGCATATTAAGACCAAACACCCAACAGTACCACTGGAAAGAAGTAAACAGATAAATTAATATATAAGGGATCTACAATGCATCTAATGATTTTTTACACTTACATCAATGGCATTCACCAATTTTTTCGCGTGATATGTCAATATTTTATCTCCGACAATAGTTAAAGAATAATAATAAAAATGAATTTTAAAATCATAGGACGATGATTCAAACCCTGGCTCAATTGATGCCCCACAGCCATCAACTTCCTCAACAAATATGGAAAATCTAGTTTAGGAAGCTCCACAGCCTCCAAGACAGCAAAACCGTAAGCAAATGACTATGACAAACTTTGTTCAAAGACCAATTACAATGAGTAAGTCAAAGGCAATTGACCAACAACTAGGTAAAATGATTGTAAAAGAGTATCACCCATTCAGTGTTGTTGAGGATAAGGAATTTAGAAATTAGATTCAAATGTTAAATCCAAGTTATATCATACCATCAAGAAAAAGTGTCACCTAGAGCTTATTTCCTCAAAGTATGAGATGACCATTGAAAAAGTTAAAAATCAATTAATAAATATTTCTGCAGTTTGCATGACCACAGATGGCTGGACTTCATTAAATAATGAAAGTTTTGTTGCAGTCACGGTTCATTTTATCGACCCTTCAAATGAAACACAGCTGTCATCAGTATTGCTAGGTTGTACCAATTTCCGTGAGAGATTTACTGCAGAGAACTTAGCGATTTTTTTAAGAAATACTTTAGATGAGTGGAACTTGAATAATAAAATAGCTGGTGTGATAAGTGACAATGCTAGCAATATTAAATCTGCATTACAAAAATGCAACTGGTGGTATTTGTCTTGTTTTGCTCATTCGATCAATTTGGTTGTTCAGACAAGTTTGAAATCCATTGAGCCAACTATACTAAAAGCAAAGACAATTATCAAGTTTTTTAAGAAAAGTTCCCACGCTTTAGGAAAATTACAAGATTTTCAAAAACAAACTGGTTTACCTCAACTAAAGCTTAAATTGGACTGACCAACCCGTTGGAACTCAACATATGATATGTTTGACAGGATTTTATCGATTAAAGAATCCATTATTGCTACCCTTGCAGTATTGGGTAACTGTCTACCGGTAACATATGAATCTAACTCCAAAGCTTGGATGACTGCAGAATTGTGGTCTAAAATTTTATTAAATTGGGATTTAGAGTTAGGAACAAAAAAATAAAAAAAAAATTACTCTTAGTTGACAACTGTCCAGCACATTGCACTGTAGCATTAAGCAATATTAAACTTGTATTTTTACCCAGTAACTGTACGTCTGTTCTCCAACCAATGGATCAATGCGTAATAAAATGTACGAACACTTATTTTCGAAAAAGTTTGGTGCTCAATATGATCAATAATATTGAAAACAAAATTGAAGCGAATATCAGCGTATTAGATGGTATATTAATGATTTTTAAAGCTTCGGAAAGAGTATCAGAGATTACAATACGAAATTGTTTTCGTCACGCTGGTTTCAATAATGCAATACCACAACAAACTGTCCAAGGAGAACAAAAAGAGGACATAAGGTTCCCAAACATAAATGAATATGTTAACTTTGATAATGATGTGCTAACTTCAGAACCATTAAGTGATCAAGAAATAATTTCTTCATAGATTAACCAAACGGGAGAACCTAAGGAAGACGTTAGTGAAGAAGCTGATACTCCCTGATACTTTTTTTGGTCCCTTGAACGTCATTATAAACGGTTTCTACTGTAGTAATATGATATTATACATTTTAGCTGTAGGTACTAGCCACTAGGTACTACAAGAGTCCCGACCCGCATCATAGTTTATAAATGATTTTATTGTTCAGTCTTCAGTGTTCATGCTATTTTATTTTCGGTCGACGTAACTACAAGGATTTATATTTTATATAGTAATAATTTACTATAATAGTATATTATACCCATTTCACTTATGAGTTATGACTTATGAGAAATATTAATAAAATAACTAATGACTAATAAGTAATGAGTACTCTGCACCTAATGATTACCTAAAGACTAACTTTAACGATTAAGTTTGAAACCCGGATACTCGATAACGATAATAGTATTGGAAATATACACACTAAGAAAAATAATATTTTTATTTAAATTATTTATGTATCTGTGTATATTGGACCTGAACTTGAAAGGAACGAAAAATTTCGTTCTTTTTCCTTGCAAAAAAGATTTTATAAAAAGGAATTCGTTCCAGGAATCCGTTCCTTTTGGAACTCGTTCTTTCCAAACACTGTTTTTGTTGAAAGTGAAGCTTGACGGACTAATGATGTTAGCATTAATATAATAAGTAATAACACGACAATATGATTATGTATAAGTATAATATATAATAACATACAACTGGACAATTAAACTGTGACAGTACACACACATCGTATACGCTCTGTACAACGACGCCTGTGCAAGTGAATATTACATACATCAAAGGCCCTATATATATGCACGACCTAGGTCATGTTACATCCGTAAAGATAATGAGTCTTATGCATAACTAGTTACTAAATTGTACCCACGTGTCAAGGCTGACTACATATACTACATATTAATTGTATATTTCAACAGTTTTATTGTCAATATATTTTCAAAAGCCCTGAATTGCATTATCTGTATATAATATAAATCTTTTAGTCAATCTCTTTATTTCACCTTCACCAAATATATTTTCTACTGCAGAAGGCCATGTACTTTCATTTAAAATTTGCATATCATTTAAAATAAAATATTCCTCTTCATTTGTTTCAAGTAAATGTGATTGAATGTTGTTACATAGACTTGTAAAAAATTGACCATGGTTTAAACTGCTTACTTTTGTATTACTTGATAAAACTACGTTTTTGAACATGATAGTATTTTGTGCACTTACAGCTTCTAATATGAAATCTACATGTTTTGTTTTAAAAGAATCAACCCCTCTGATTGTTCTTTTGATCGATTCATGAGCACCCAACAATGTAATTGAATGACTGTAATTCAAGAGATAAATATGACAATTCTTTTAGTATGCCACACATTAGTGCTAAGTCTAAGACAAATTCTGGACTGCCCAGCCTCTTACATAATCCATGAAATTTAAATCTAGATTTTTGATCGCTTAGGTTATCTTTTGAAAAGTTATGTAAGTGGTTGTACAACGCTGAAAATGTTTTCCATACAATTTATACTGCTCTGAGGCTACTGGCTACCCACCGGACATCAAGAACTCGTCCTACCTTTAAAAATAAAATGTCTAATTCTGTACATGAGGTTCTTAGTTCATTTTTATTTCTAGGTGATCTGTTAAACAATACATATAAACTATCAATAAACCAGTCGCGTTTCTACTGTTATAGTGTTCGGTTGTGCTTTCCGCTTACTCTTATCGCAGTTACCGTTATTGTTATTTTTTGTATCCATCGTTAGCGCGGTCTACTACTAATTATGTCGTCGTCTTTGGGCGGCGACTCGCGTGTGAGCAAATCACCTGCCCCGAGCAAAATAAAACCTTCTCTGTCTACCAATCGTTCCTTGGATTCCAACTACAATTAAATAAATAAAATTCACGTAAGTCAAATTCTAAGTTACTTACACCCACGCCTCCCGGACTTCAACATATTATGGACAACACTCCGGTTCTAAATACGTCACCTTCGACCTTCAACTATATAGACTCCGCACCTATTGATAACAATCTGTCGTTAGACCCGGTCATTAAGGACGGTTTATCTATTGATAATGCTAATGATCCTACATCGAATTTAGTATCTGATATAAACTCTACACCACTAACCTCTTCTATGACACCACTGTTATTTCTAATGATATAAATATGTTGCCTCAATGCACACAACAGACCTTCCCATCCGATTATATCGGCCCAGTCATGAAACTTGTTGAATGCATCGATTTAAATAAAAATCTGGGTAATTGGCACCCAATAAAGGGAGCCAAATTTTTTTCTACCAATTTCGCCGGTAAAATAGATATTAAGCCCGCTGGCTCAAAAAAAATAAAAATTAGCTTTGATTCGATCTTGAACGGAAATCTTTGTTTGATTTCCGATGCTTTAAACGAACATGGTTTTGCAGCGAGTGTTCCATCGAATCTTATCTATTCTTTTGGTATAATAAAACTCGATCAAGACGTCTCCGACGACGATTTTCGGGATGGAGTCCAATCAAGTTTTAAAATTGTCAGCTTCAAACGTATATATAACGGGTTTTTCAATAGAGGCGCTCGAACTTTGATCGGTTATATCGGGAATGTCATTAAAGCCTTATCTGCATAATTGTTGTGAATTGTTCAGTACCGTATGGCAAATCACCATGAACGGTTATAGCGTAGAACAACGTGTGCGTATAATTAAATTTTATTATAAAAATCAGTGCTCCGTTAAGAAACTTTCCGCGCATTACGCGATTTTTATTCTCGAATTTTGTGTCGAGACTTGGGTCTGCACCCGTATAAAATCCAACTTACACAAGCGCTCAAGGTAAACGACCATACACAACGTCGTGTATTCACTGATTGGGTTCTGGGGCAGTTAGCAGTTGATCCAAACTTCGCTAAAAAAAATAATCTTTAGCGACGAGGCCCATTTTTGGATGAATGGATACGTTAACAAACAAAATTGTCGGATTTGAGGTGATACCAATCCACACAAGACACACCAAAACAAAATGCATCCCGAAAAGGTCACTGTTTGGTGCGGATTTTGGTCTGGCGGAATCATTGGTCCGTTCTTCTTCCAAAACGAAACAGGCATTGCCATAACCGTCAATGGCAAGCGCTACAGATCAATGATCAACAACTTTGTTTGGCCTAAGTTCGATGATATGGATACTGAGGACATGTGGTTCCAGCAGGATGGTGCTACGTGTCACACAGCGCATGCAACGATGGACATTCTGCGTGAACGATTTGAGGGCATGGTGATATCACGCAATGGTGACATAAACTGGCCTCCGAGATCGTGCGATTTAACGCCACTAGACTTTTTTCTTTGGGGCTATCTTAAATCGCAGGTCTATGCAAATAAACCACAAACAATTGATGCCCTCAAAGTCAACATAATCAACACCATCAAGCAAATTCAACCAGATATATGCAACAAAGTGATAGAAAATTGGACCACCCGAATACGTGCCACCAAGCAAATCCGAGGCGGACATTTGAACGATGTTATATTCCACAAATAATTGCCATATAACGTTCTTTAAAATAAAATAAAAATTAAGTATATATCTCACACACAACTTGTTTTTTTCACTGTGAAACATCGAGCGTCCTTATTGAAAAACCCTATATTAAAAAAGATAGCAATATCGTACCTACACGCATCGTTGAACTCAAATGCTCGTCTCATAAATTACCTCAACACATTTCGATCTTTAATATGATTTTTTATGTAAACCCCAGCATTCGTTCTCCAGTACAATGTAACTGTTGCTTACGTTACAGACACACGCAAATCGATCCAAGATGCTGTCATTGCGGTGGCTCCAAACATTCTATCACAGAATGCCCGACCGTCCACGCCACTGACCCGATATGCCTCTTCTGCAAACTTCCTCATGTTTCCACTGACCGTAGCTGCCAAAAATGGTCTGCTCAAAAGGACATCAAGAGAATTATGGCTACATAGAATCTCTCCTACAAAGACGCCCTAGATTTTAAGAAAAATAAATATTCTACTTCTGCTTTTAAATACTCCGATAGTGCAAATAGCCAGCCCCCAAATTCTTATAATTTAAATCCTGATAGATCCTGATAACGAGGAGATCTTTCCCATCTTAAAAGAAAGTCATCATTTTTTTAATTCTAAAAAAACCAAACGGAAACCTCTTAATATGTCGATTAACAATAGAGTTGTCCTACCTGTTGATTCATCTTATTCTCCTCCTAATGGCAGTTATTTAAATAATATCTCTAACCAACACAACCCCAAAGAGAATAACCCAAACGATCTTTCTTGGGTACATACCTTATCCCTAAAATTATCCGAAACTCTAATTAACTCTATCTCCTTATCCTCTCCTTTCTCTTCCTCTTCCCTCCAATCACTAATTGAATCATCTCTATTTTCCTTACTAGCTATAACTAATTTTAAACATTTATCCTAAACGCAAGTACCTAGGATATTTTAATTATTCTAACATATTATTACTTTAGATTCACAAATACCTATATGCAACTATTATGTTTCTCAACATAAATAATAACTCTTTTAGCAGCAACTTGATTATCTTACAGTGGAACGTTAGAAGTCTGTCTGCACGACTCCCTTCTCTTATGCACCTTCTTCATACACATAAGTGCTCTATTGCTATACTTTCTGAAACCTGGCTCAACCCCTCCCGTTCTATTAGTATTTCTTTTTTTAGAACCTACAGATCTGATAGACCTGATGGGTTTGGTGGTGTGGCTGTAGCTAAGCTATCCATAATTTGCTGAAATCTAGACCAATTCTTATAGATAATATTATTAGGAATAATCTTTATAAACATAAAATTGATATTATAGGCGTTGAGATTGTATCCGACTCCTCACCTCCCCTAGAAATATGGTCCTGCTACATCCCTAGCAGTTCCAATATACCTTTTACCATCTGGCAATCTTTGTTTAGCTTAATTTCCTGTAATTCTATTCTTTGAGTAGATTTTAACTCCTTCCACCTTGCCTAGGGCTCCGATTCTTCGTCTCCCCGTGGAAACATTATTTTCAACACTATAAATTATCTTGGCCTTTGTATACTCAATTACGGCAGTCCCACTCACATTGGACGGCTCAATTCCGCTGACTCAGTTATAGATATATCTTTTTGTTCGCAAAACCTATATTGGAACCTATCTTGGTGCACTCTGGGTGAGCCTCATGGTAGTGACCACATCCCCATCATAATTTCAGCTATCAACGGGAGTCTCTCAAATTTTACCCGATCTCACCATCAACCTAACAACATTCTCGTTAGTCACACACCCTATAACTTCAACAATGCTAATTGGTTTCTTTTCGACTCAATATCTATGACGCGATCTCCTCAGCTACCGAGCATCCTGCCTTAAGCAATTCTTATTCCAATTTTACAGAAATGATATTAAATGCCGCAAATTAGACTATACCAGCTAAAAAAGTCAATCCTAAATTTCATACATCCTCTCCCTTATGGTGGAGCCCGTCAAAACTTGATTCTGACTTTTGTATTGAAAATGTGGCAAGTGATAGTGATGAAAGCACCGATCAAACTACATCAAATGTACGTCGTCGATCACCTTCTCTTTCAGTTGAAAATATTACTATAATATCCGAACCAGAGTTTTTCTTAGGGAAAGATAAAATAACTAAATGGTATAAAAATAACCCCCCTTCTAACGTCCGTCTAACTCGTCGTCATAATATTGTTTTGCATTTGCTCGGAGTGAAAATGCCAAATCAGTCTTAGATTGCTGGAAGTTATTTTTTCCTGATACTGTTGTTATAGATATAGTTGAGTGTACTAATAAATATTTAGCGAAAATCCGTGTAAATTATCAAAATAATAAGGATGTCCGTTATACTTCGAGAGAAGAAATAGATGCCCTTTTAGGATTATTGTACTTGGCTGGGTATTTGCGTAGCAATCATTTGAACCTACACGATTTGTGGAGAACTGACGGTTTTTCTCCTGAATATTTCCGGGCAGTCATGTCAGAAAAACGTTTTTCCTTATTACTTCGAGCTGTTAGATTTGATGATATTGAAACAAGGAACGTTAGAAGAGCAATAGACAAGCTAGCACCTATTCGTACAGTTTTCGATGATTTTGTTCGGCGATGTAAAGAAAATTATACTGTAGGAGAGAATTGCACTATAGATGAAATGCTAGAAGGGTTTCGAGGGTGTTGCAGTTTTCGACAATATATACCAAATAAGCCAAATAAATACGGTATCAAAATTCACACACTCGTTAATTCTCGTACATTTTATACGTCTAATATGGAGGTTTACGTAGGAACTCAGCCAGATGGCCCTTTCAAATGTGACAATTCTCCGTCAAGTATTGTAAAACGACTAATAGCGCCGATATCAAAAACTGGCCGCAATATTACTATTGACAATTGGCACACTTCAATTCCATGGGCTAATGAGTTACTAAAAAATCATAATCTTACAGTAGTGGGCACTTTGAGAAAAAACAAAAGGGAAATTCCTCCAGTTTTTTTAGAAACTAAAAAAAGAGAAGTAAATTCGACTTTGTTTGGATATGGAAAAGACCTTTTACTTACAACTTATACTCCAAACAAAAATAAAAATGTCATTATGATATCAAGTATGCATGATCAAGGTATCATTGACCCGGAATCCGGTGACCAAAAAAAAACAGAAGTCATAACGTACTATAATTTTACTAAAGGTGGAGTGGATGTAGTAGACAAAATGAAAGGCGAGTACTCGGTGGCAAGAATTAGTTGTCGATGCCCCCTAACTATTTTTTTTTCATTGATGAATATTGCTGGGATAAACCGTCAAATTATATATCGCGAAAATACAGATAAAATGATAACTCGTCGAGAATATTTGAAAACTTTGGGACAAGAGCTCACTAAACCTTATATGGTAAAACGTCTTGAACAGCCATGTTTATCATTTCTTCTTCGACAACAAATAATAAAAATGACTGGATGTACTTCACAAAGTAATAAAGAAAGTCCGAATCCAGATGTTTCGACAAGTGATCAACGAATCAGATGTAATTTTTGTCCAATCAGAAAAAATCGCTTTACAAAGGTACCATTATAAAGATATTTATTGGTTATTTATACATTATATTATTTTTATATTCTATTTTACAGGTCAGTTGTTCGTTATGTGGTGTGTATATATGTAAAGAACATACTACTCCTACTTGTCCGACACGCAACACCGTGAAAGGAAACTCGGAAAATTCTAACGATGAGTTATAATTTTAAAATTGTTTTTATTTTGATAGATTTTGTTACAAAAAAGTGATTTGTTTAATTTTTATATAATATCTTTTTTTTTTCTACCAAAAATGATGTTTTTTTTATTTTTTATAAGTTTTTTCCGAGAAAACTCGGAAAATTCGAACGATGAGTTAAATTTTAAAAATTGTTTTTATTTTAATAGATTTTGTTACAAAAAAGTGATTTGTTTAATTTTTATATAATACCTATCTTTTTGTTTCAATAAATAATTCACAGAACCGAAAAAACGATAATGTTAGCGTAACGCTAACACGATACCAATCATGTAAAAGTATATTGCGATACCGACGACGGCTTAAAAATTGTGTTATCCCCACCAAACGCCCTGGAAACGATGATTGGGTTGACGCATTTTTAGCTAAAATTGCTCCGAGCTATGCTTCCTCCGAATCAGAATCTCGTCCTCCTTATTACCCTCACACGTCACATTCTCACGTTCTTACTAATAAATTTACAATCTCCGAATTAAAGTTTGCTATTTTTTCACGGAAATCCATAGCCCCGGGACTCGACAATATTTCACCTGCACTGCTAAAACAACTCCCTGATAGTGCGTTAAGCTCTCTTCTTGATATATTCAATAATTTGCTAGTCACTCAGCGGTTCCCTTCTTCATGGAGTTTCTACAGAGTCATTCCGATACATAAATCAAATTCATAAAATAAACAAATACATCGTTCCGTCCTATTGCACTATCCTATTCACTATGTAAAGCTTTTGAGCATATACTCAAAACTAGACTTGATTGGTGGCTCGAATCTAATTCCATACTGCCCCCTAACCTTTTCGCGATTAGGAAAGGCATGGGTACCACAGAATGTCTCTCAACTTTCATTGGTAACATCTATCATTCCTTCAACAATAAAGAATTTTTTGTTGCCACCTTTATAGATATACGGGGTGCGTTTGACTCTGTTAATATACATATTCTTGTTGATTATATTATCTCTTTGAATGCCCCTCCGGAATTTGGTAATATATTACTCTCCCTTTTCAATGAAATAAATCTTGTTTTCTCTTCTTCATTTGGTTCTTCTAGTACTCGTTCCACATTCACAGGTCTCCCACAAGGAAGTTGCCTCACGAAGACTAACGGGTTTGGTACCTTTGCAGGCTACAACCACGGACCTCACATTAGCGCTGTGCGCTATTCGAGAGCCGCGGAGGTTCACGGTCGGCGTACGGAGGAGTTACCCTCCTGCGGCCGCCCGCGCGTCGTCTATGGACCACGAGCACCGGGCGCACACCCGTTCCCACCGAAGTTGGGAGAGAGTGCGCCCGTACCGTTGGCTGAGGCGTGCATGTGCCCTTCGCCACCTTGGTCGGGTCGCAAGCTATCCTCATTGCTTCCCGTTTCTGGTTACGGGCAACCTCCGGTGCATATAGCGCCACCGGTAGGCTGGGTGGGCGCTAAGGAGTGACCGTGCTTTCCCGGCCGACTGGCGCCGTACGGGTCCGCCCGGCCCCGTCACTCGGCAGCCTTCCCCTAGACCGAGCTTTAGTCTTCTACCACAAGGTTAGCTCCTGCTAACAACTTCTCCGAAACCAAACCGCCGTCGGCCGCGCCACAACCGAGGCCGGTGCGCGACCGCCGTATGAGGGCACGGCGTCAATCAACTCGACGCCGCCCCCCCCCCACATCCCGAAGTACCATTCACGCCCCCGTTAGGATGGCCCATCAATGGTGGGATGGCCGGGCCGAGCTTCGTCGACCGAGAGTCTCAGCTGTGGTCCTACCGAGATTAGGATCGTGTATCACGGGCTCACGCCTTTGCCACGCCTCCCAGAGGCATCACCGAGGTGATCGACTCGCTCTTCACGAGGTCGCAGTCAGAACCTCCAACACCCTAGTCCCCGAAGGTTTCGGTGTGTCCGCGTCCCGGACGCCGGCCCCGTCTGGCCATTTCCCTTTCAGTCGCCTCTTACGACAAGCAGGGAATACTGATGCTGTATTCTGGACGGCCCCAGCAACGGGGCCGGACTCCTCGCCCTAGGCGCATGCGCAAGGCCCTCCCGGAACGCACATGAGCGTGCCCCCCGTTTCTGTCACTTTCTCCGTCCTTTGCACATTCGAGGCACCCCATGTCTTGAGCCTACCACCTGTAGTGATCGTCACTAACAGTTGGTGGCCGCGTTCCGGCGATGCGGTTGTCCGCAGTTTATCTGTCGGTTCGATTTCTAAGACTATCTCTTGCGAACTTGCGTAGGGCCTCGTATAGTCCTTTAGATCTAAGGAACACTCCATCTTCCGGAGGCCATACCTGGTCTTCCCTGCGAAGCACTTCCTTTAGTTCTTCTCTTTGTTCTGAAGTGCGCCTACACCTCAGGAGGACGTGTGCTACCGTCTCCGAGCCTCCGAGGGCGCACTCACACGTTGGTGAGTCTACTAGGTTGAATGAGAACAGCTTTCCACGGAAATCACCGTGACCTGTCAATATCTGGCTTGTGTAATGGTCCATCTCCATTGGTAGACGGTATCTCTCGATTAAAGATGGTATCATTTTCTTGGTCCATTCGCCTTTGTCTGTTGTTTCATATCTTATCTGCCACTGTGTGAGTAGCTCACTCTGCTATTCAGGGACTCGGGCGTAATGGCGCCGAGTTTCGCCTGTCTTTTGAATACGTACTCTATAATCTTGAGATCAAGTGGCAACTCACCGGCTACTGCCGCAAGACAATTTGTCGAGGCCGTTCTGTACGCGCTTGTTATCGCTATTAGTGGGTCTCTTTGCATTGACCCTAACTTCTTTTTACACTTCTCGAGTTTTACGCCTTCCCACCATACTTCCGCCGCGTATGTTATTCTGGGTAGGAAGACGCCCTCATAAATGATCCTGGCAGTTCTTCTGCTCATGCCCCAGTTAGCGGATGACATGCCTCTGAGCCTTTTGTAGAGGTCTTTTGACTTTCCCGCCAGTTCAAAAATGTGGTCTGCATAGGATTGCCTCGGGTCAAGAATTACTCCCAAGTTTTTCACCGAGCTGGTTGACTCTATGACCGCGGCTTCGTTGTTCGTGCCAAAGGTGATGCTGTACGTCGGTTTTAGGCCACCCTTTACAGACATCAGTTGTGTTTTCGTTTCCGAGTACTTCTCCGCCCAGGTTCTCATTACATCTAGGTACTCGGTCATTCTCTTAAACACCGTTTGTGGCCTGGCGGCACCCGTAAGTATGGCTATGTCGTCCGCATAGGTTACTACGTGCTGCGTTTGCTGGTCAGGAGGAGTTCCGATGTCGGACATGTCTACCTTCCACAAGGTCGGTCCCAGTTGCGAGCCTTGGGGGCACCCTCTTGTTAGCTGTCTTGTTTTGACTACGTTTTCGATTTTGAGCTTGGCGTGTCTGCTCCTGATCGATGCACCGATCTCGTGAAGTCTTTCCAGGATCGGGGACCATTTGACGTTGTCAAAGGCCCCGGTGATGTCCAGAAAGACTCCAAAGACGTGCCTGCACTTAGATGCATTTGCCCAGTTGTATAGCGATTCCATCGCCGTGATGGTGGAGCGGCCCGCCACGAAGCCGTGTTGGTTTCCTATTACGTTGAGTGAGGTTTCGCTTTCAATTCTTTTAATAATTAGTGTTTCAAGTACTTTGCTCATCATCGGCAGGAGACTAATAGGCCTATAGGATTTATGATTGGACCTGACCTTTTTCCCTGATTTCGGGATGATCACCAGTCTAGAGACCTTCCAGCAATCCGGGAAGATGGCATTTTCTATACATTCATTCATCAGGAGGGTCGTTGTGTCTTTTATGAGTGGCCAAGCTTTTCTAAGCATCCCTGCTGTTATGCCGTCCAGTCCTGGAGCTTTTGATGGCTTCATTCGCCATATTGCGTTTTTTACTTCCAGTTCTTTGACCGGAACATGTGGTTTTAGCGGTCCATGTCGCAGAGACCCTCCCTGGTCTGGGTCTGCGGGAACGAAGGTATCTAGCAGTATTGTCTGACAGCATTGTCTCATCGACTGTCCCTGTAAGTGTCCCATCTGCTCTGCTCAAAGAACAGGTGACGCCTGTCACGCGAGGACCATTTTTAGCGTACCTGAACGCTTTGCCCCAGGTGTGCACGTTTATATCGTAGGACATATTCCTCCATGCCGTCATTTTGGAACTTCTTATTTCCTGAAGGTAATGATTCCTCAGATGGTTATATGCCTGTCTGTCGTGAAGCATGAGCCCTTGTCTTTTGGCCAGATTCAACCTTTTCCTCATAAAGGTGAGTGTCTCCGTCCACCAAGGTTGTCTTTTTATGTTCCACCGTCTACCGGTCCTTGTTGGAATTGCTTTCTTAGCCACGGTGGTTATGACATCTATCAGCGATGACGCATGTACGTTGAGATCAGCCGTCGTTCGGACTGTCAAAATGCTTCTTGCTAACTCCTGGGAGAAGCAGTCCCAGTCCGCTCTGCCCACATCAAAACGTTTGCTCTCTTGAGTCCTGTTTGTAGTTATGTCCAGGGCGTAGCTGAGTAAGCGGTGATCGCTATCAGTGACATCGCTTACTAGCCAGCCTGTGATGTTACCAGCTGTGCCTTGCGTGTTGAGTGTTACGTCTATGTTCGAGGATCCCATGCCACGACGGGCGTAGGTATCCATGTGACCTGGTGAGTTTAATATACTGAGGTTGTAGTCGTCAATGAGGTCTTCGACTATGCGGCCCCTTTGGTTGAGATCAGCGCTGTGCCATCTTGGCGAGTGGCCATTAGTGTCGGCCCCGATTAGTGTCTCGGTACCACACTCGAGAATTGCCCTAAGTTTATCGGTGAAGACGTGCGTATGCATGTTGTATTTAAAATATGCAGATACGAGGACTGCAGATCTTGGGCCATGTCCCACCCTTATGGCGGCGATATGTGTTGAGACGTGCTGGGTTAGTTCAATGACCTGTAGGTCATTATTCGTGATTATGATCGCTGCGCCTGGGTCTTTGGCTGCGACTACCCTGCAGTCCTCGAAGCCATACACTTTTCCTGACAGGGAAACTGGCTCTTGTATGAGCGCTATACTTATTTTATTTTTGATGCAGTAGTCTCGTAGTTGCATCGAGGCTACTCTTTGGCCGTTTAAGTTGATTTTCTATATTAATCATGAGGAGTCGAAGTCCGTACGCCTGAGCAGGTTTCTACTCGCTTGGCTTCTGGCTTTGCAAGCCGCGCTTGACGCCTTGTGAGGTCCTTTGCAATTCACGCACCTGACCCCGTCCTCCTTACAATTCCGGGAGTCATGTGCGCCCGCGCAGTTCCTGCACACAGGCGTCTTTCGCTCGCACCTAATCGCTGTGTGCCCGTATTGCTGGCAGTTGAAGCACTGCGGCAACGTGCTGTGTGCTTTGCACCTACATCGCATCATGCCGATGTATAGTGCCTTATTCTCTATTTTCTTGAATACACTCGGGGATACCTCTACAACCCAATGTACCGTATCGCTGCTCCGAGGTCCCAGTTTGAGCAGCGGCGACATGCTACTGTGATCTGCGTCTGTGAGGCCAAGCTCTGTGTTTTGTATTAGGAGACACTCAATTAGCTCCTCTTTGGGCATTCTTCCCTTGTCAACATCATAGATGATGACCCTTGGCTTCCTCGGGCCTATTTCGATGATATTCTCGAGGCCCCGCATCACCTCCAACGTGTTGGAATCATCCGGTATTATTATTAGGTTGTTGCCGCTTACCAATGTCTTCGCTTTCGGGTTGCTGATTTTTTTCTTTTACGGTTTGCCACACGCCGGCCTTTACGCTTTCAACCGTCATATCCTGGGGAATTTCCACCATGAATCGGGAAGTGGCTTTCACTCGTCTACTTTTTTCCAGGTGGTCCTTTTCCTTCGCCTTCTTGGACCTTGTAGTAGTAGCTGTTACTGTTACTACTGCTGGTGCAACTGCCGCTGCCCTAGCGGCGTAAGTCGTTTTCGACGGTCCTTGGGCGGTCGCTACCCTAGCACTTTTCAGTGCTGCCAGCTCAGCCGTAAGGCTGTTTGTCTCCACGTTCTTAGCATCCAGTTTATTGATGAAGACTGTGAGGCTTTCCCTCTGGGCGTCCTCTTTGCCCTTAATCTCGCCAGCGAGCCTGCTATTTTCGGTATATAACCGCGTCAGCGTCCTTAGTCGGCTGAGTTTTCCGAGCATCTTCTCGGCAACTGTCATGGCCAGCTTTTTCTTCTCTTTTTCCTGAACCACAGTCTGTTCGAGCCAGCCGATTAGCTCGTCGAGCTCTCCCGGCTGCTTTCCAGCCACTCTTATCTGTTGGGCGGTTTGTCCGTTTGGCGAACCAGGTGAGGGTGGGCCGCGCTTGTGACCGCTTGCAATGCCCATGTCACCACTGGTGCTCGCAGCGTGTGCCATTTCAGTATCGTTGTCGCCACCACCCCTAAGTCTAAGGGGGGCTTCGTAGCAGTGTCCGTTGTTTGTTATGTCCGTATCTTTATTATCCGTCTGTTTCCGGTCCGATTTCCAACTTACATTTACCGAACTATTGATGACGACCTGTGTGGTGAGCTCACCCACAGCTGCCGGGTCTAAGGTTTCCAAGGCCTTTGTACCAGTAACATAATTTTTGTTTTTCTTGTGTATTGTAATATTAGTTTTTTGGGGGGTTGCCCCGGGTGGCCCTACACCCTCTGGCCGCCGGCGGGCTAGATCGGCGGTTGCATTTATCCATGCCAGGGGTTAGAAGTCCGGAGTCGGCCTGCTCCGGACAGTTTTTGAAAGCCTCTTAGCGCCGGACATATAGCCCGGTCGGGCGGGGTCACCACGACTAGGTGGGCTTTCGTCGACCCCGAAGGAAGTGCCTCAGTCCCCTACTTTTTAGTATATACATGAGCCTTGTTGCAAAAAGTCTCTTAAGGTTCGGTCACAATTGTTTTATCTACGCTGATGATATGGTCATCTATTCTTCAAATAAATCTCTCCATCTCGCCATAGAACTATTAAATGTTGCTCTTAAAGATCTAAACACTATTTTATTTTATGTATCTCTGGGAATCGCTCCTGAGAAATGTAAGTCGGTCATTTTTACTCGGCGCAGATTATTTGATCCACCTAACATACAGGGTGTCCCGTGAGGATTTACTCATTGCGATATCTCCTGAAATAATAGAGATGTCGTAATTCTGTTTTCTTATTAAGACTCACAGAGGTAAGCACTACAAATAACTCATTTTTTATTTTTTTTTTATGTTTTGGTAAAAAAGTTAAAATAATTATTTTTTTAATTAATTATTTAAAAAAATATTGAAGAGTTTTGTAGAGTTCATTTTTCTGAAAATATTGACCTTTCAACATTTTAATTTCATTAATTTCCTGATTTTTAATAATTGTTTTAGTTTATAGGTAAAACGGCAAAAAATCCGGTTTTTGTCCGGGCTGCGGGTCCCTCTCTACGTCTAATGGGCATATCCTCACGGGACACTGTGTATACCTAGACAATTACCTTATTCCTTTTGCTGCTACTGTAACCTATTTAGGCATTACCCTCGACGCCAAACTGCGTTGGATATCTCATATATCATCACTTTGTTCCTTTACATCCCGTTGGTCAAACTTCCTCAGGGCTGTATCTAATACTTGGTGGGGATCTCATCCTTCTAGCTTGTTATCTATTTATCACTCAATCATACGTTCTAAATTGGACTATGGTTGCTTTCTTTTTGGTTCGGCAGCCTTCTGCAACTGGAAAAAAATAAATATGCTCCAATCGTCTTGTCTTAGAACCATAATGGGATATCTAAGGTCAACCCCTGGGCCGGCGATAGAAGTTGAAACCATCTATCCTCCTTTTTTTATCAGGTGCCGATGGCTAGCAGGTAAATCCATTTTAAAATCTTTAGCTCATTCCAACCACAATATATTCGATACCTTCTATTGTCTATATATCACCTGGCGTTATACATCCAAGTCAATGACAGTCCTATCAATTGCTGCAAACTCCCTCTCCAATGTTCACCAATATGTCCTAAATTCTTATAAACTTCCACTCTATGAGCAACTGAAATGGTCATTATAAAAATAATTAACTTCCTTTTGGAAGCTGGTTTTGCTATTTAAGGTGGTTACATTATCTAGTTTTTTTATCACCTAATTTATATTACTTTTTCTTGTTATCAATCTTTTATTGTTTTAATTTATATAAGTCTTTATTTTCTGTATAATTTTATCTGTATTAACTGTCGAGCTATTATAGTTTTTTACTAAAGGCTAAAAAAAAAAAAAGCTTCTCCTTTAAGCTGATCTCTGAAATATCTAGGCAGGTTAGTCGGCAGCAATCGTGCATCTCACCTTCTCATCGTCTAGGCATTCGGGGATGTTGATGATCAGGACTGGAGTCGTTCTTCTGGGTCTGCTGACTTTCGCTCTTTGGCCAAGGGTTTCACAAAGGAGGGTGGATGGCTTATCGACCGCCTCTTTTCCGCTGACCTCCATAAGAATAGCTTTTTGGTGCGCCGAACTTTCCCGATTTGGATTCCGTGTTCTTGCTTATCGATGCAGCTGGTCGTGAGTCTCATCACGCTGGCGTATGTTTCCCCGTCTGCAATTGTCACAGCTTCCGTCCTAGGAGCTCGCCTCCGGAACAAGACCTCCACGTCGGTCTTCTTCTTGGTAGTTGAATTTGGAGTTGCTTTGGGGGGCTTTTTGATCGCCCCGCGTTTGGTGACTTCTTTCCACTCCACCGCTTCTGTGTCCGGATTATTTGTAGATGTGCCAGGTTGTGGGTGACCCTGGCGCGGCTGAATGTCCTTCTTCGGAGCAGCATCAGCACTCATAGGCTGTGTCTTCTGTTTCTTCCTTTTCCCCTGGCATCCTTTTGGGATTTTACCTTTTGGGATTTAACAGGTCTGATGGTTGAACATCGTGCGAGTTCCGTTGTTGTTGCTGCTTCATTTGTTGTGACAGCTCCCCTAGCACTTCACCCTGCTTTTCCATCATCGTTCTGCCCTCAATGATTTGTAGAACGCGCTGTTGACGCTGGTTGTGGTCGATTTTAGGTTCTCTGTCGATTTGATAGCTAGATCGATGGCTTCCATTACTACTGGAGATTTGGTTTTTTCCCGACATGTAGACAGGTGATCGATGGATTCAAGTATGGCGCTGATTTGCTTGTATTGATGTTTGATCATACTCTTAAGGTTGCCTATAGCCGCCTGCATGTATGGCTGCTGATCTTTGCTGGTGCTCGATGCAGCCAGCATGGCATTGAGCTTTGGGCTTGGTTGTAGATTGATTAATGGACACCCCCCCTCAGAATCCTTGGGGCCTGACTCCGCCGAGTGTGGATTCCACGGTAAGACCGGTTCACCACCTAAGGTAGAATTTTCTTTTTGTGGTGCTTCCATCTTTCAAACAGCTTGTAATCTGTGGGATCGCCGCTCCCCACAGATAGCCGGTGCCTTGGCGGGGGTTTGCCGGGCCCCAATTAGGTTTGGTTTTGGCGTTCTGTCCGGTCCGTTGAATCCTGATTTTGCTGCTTCTCGGGAGTTGATCGCGTTCCAGAGGGCTGTTGAGGACAGTTCTAACCTGGTTTTTCTGTCGCGGATTTACTTCCCTTAGGGCTATGCTCGTCCGGGATCAGGCTGCCTCCGACCTTGCCGGCTCCAACTGGTTAAGGTTAGGGCCGGTTCAGAGCCTTTGCGGTGTCTGCAGGCTAGCTCCGGGCCTGCCGATCTCTACCAGTGAAGGTAAGGACCGACTCCCTGTTCTCCGACTCCGACCAGCTTAGATCACAGCCGGGTTTGCGAAGCCGTTGGCACGCCCGTTATGGGCGTGAGCCCCCCCCCCCCCACAACCACGGCAAGGTGGGTTCTTGGGGGATTTACCGTTAACCTAACCTAACCTAACCGATTCAACCGAATCAGGTACCTGTCGATTCGCCTCGACACCGCCGTCACGCCAGCACATCGCGCGTCAAAGTCAGTAAAGCCGCGGCTGCGAAATCGAGAAAACAGTGTTCCGAAATCCGCCGCCCACCGCCGAAAAATGTTTCGACCGAAAAGTTCGTCCGATCTTCGCGCGCGATTGTGAGTTATGTAGCCATCGAGAAACATTGACCTAAGCCCTCCACGGCTGGCCACCCGATCACACGGACACACTAGTTTCGCCTTGGTCGGCAAACCTAACTTCGCACACACCCGTTACACTAAAAAATCCGCACCAACCTCAGCGGGTCTGTAGAGTGTCGACCGACAAAAGCCTACGACTCCGCGGGAAAGTGCCATTGTGTTACGCCCTCATTAAAAAGTGCGCCAAATTAGCCGCTCGTTACCCCGAAAGTAAAACTAGGTGCTCAGATAGAGCGCTTCCACGTAGTGCACCCCGGACAACGTCCTAGACGGCTAAAGCTCTATCAACTTTTGGCAATCGTACCAGTGGGTTCCCATCTCACGATTTACTATAGACTCCCACCCCCACAGGTCAGCGTCACCAGAAAACAGTCCTTTTCAGGACTCCTGGACTCGAAATGTATGTCCTCAACTCCGCATTCTCCAACTGAATACTGAAGGGATAAGCAGAGCAAAAACAGAGTACCTTACTAAACTGTTATCTATACATAAAATCGATATGATATTACTTGAGTAAACACATGTCTCAAACGAAGAACAATTACGAGCTCGAGGACACATATCAGGTTTCTTGCTAGCCGATGCGACCTGCGACCGCAGGTATGGATCAGTAACATATGTAAGAGAAACTATTATAGACTGGCAACCCGTAAACACTCTTGTAACTCACGACATCTCAATAATTACAACTAAAGTTGCTGGAATCAACATACAGAATATTTACAAACTACCAAATGTAAGATGGCCAACTTTAGCACACCCAACTGTCTTCATAGGTGATTTTAATATTCACCATCAATCATGGGGTTACTCTGATAACGATGAAAATTGCAAGAAAATCTATGAATGGTCTTCTCATAACAACCTCTACCTGGTGTTTGGTGCTAAAGAAATAGGGACCTTCAATTCTGGCCGCTGGAATAAAGGGTGTAATCCTGATCTATGCTTTGTCACAAGAGACTCCGAACACAGACCACTAGGTACTATCAGAACAGTCCTACCAGCATTTCCCCGTAGTCAACATAGAAATGTCATTCTCAACATAGGCTTACAAGAACCAATTATTCCCTCAATTCCAAAACCTAGATGGAATTTCCGAAAAGGTAATTGTGCTAACTTCAAACTACAACTCGTTAATGACATAAGATGGATCCCTCCAGTCCCTCAAAACTATTCTCTCTTCACTAACCTGGTTATTGCAACAGCAAAGAAACATATTCTGAGAGGGTATCGCAAAGAATACATCCCGTGCTGGGCTAAAGAATCGACCAGACTATTTAACCTCTTTTTACAAAACACCAAATAGTGATATAGAGAGAAAAGTATTGGATTCACTAACTTCATGTCGCAAAGAAAGGTGGTTGACCCTGGTAGAAAGCTTGGATTTTAAATTCTCTATTAGAAAAGCCTGGCTACTACTAAGAAAATTGGATCCAAATTCCCATAAAAACAGAAGTAAACCACCGAACATAAGCCCTGATGTTATAGCGAATCGAATAGTAAAAACCTCCAGAGCGCTCATGGATAAACCATTTAGCAAGAGTGTAAACGCAGAACTACGAACCTTAAAACAAAAGGCTGAATCCAAATCAGAACTTGCTCGCGATTTTTCACCCAAGGAAGTAGAAGAGGCTATAAACAGTCTAAAAAGTGGGAAAGCATCTGGAATAGATGGTATCTTCCCAAAATTCATAAAGAACTTTGGCCCACGCGTAATCTCATGGCTCACAAGATTTTTCAATGAAATTTTATCCACTGGCTATCTCAAACCCATCTTTAAGAAATCGAAGATAATCGCAGTTCTAAAGCCTGGCAAGCTCCCTAACGACGCAGCAAGCTATAGGCCAATCGCTCTGCTCTGCACTTACTATAAACTACTTGAAAGGCTCATCTACAACCACATAATGCCAATCATCAATCAACATGTTCCTATTGAACAAGCAGGCGCCTAATCGAAGCTGCTGCGACCAAGTTTTATCTCTCACTACTTTTATAGAAGACGGCTTCGAAAAGTGTTTGAAAACAGCCGCCACATTTATCGACTTATCCAGTGCATACGACACAGTATTTAGAAAAGACCTGCTCCTCAAGTTCTTACGAATAATTTCCTGCCAGACATTAACAAATCTTCTAAATAACATGTTAAGTAATCGTCAATTTGTCATCCACCTCAATAACGACACAAAAAGCAAATAGAGAACGCTGAAGAATGGACTACCCCAGGGATCTGTTCTAGCTCCTCTGCTATTCAACCTATACATTAGTGATCTACCCAAGACAGCCTCCAAGCAATTCATATATGTGAACGATATATGTATTGCAAACCAAGAGAAACTTCACGCTTAGTTCAGATTTCCAAACTTTAGATAAGTTCTTAATACAATGGAGACTTACCCCAAGTCCCAGTAAAACTGAAACCACAGCTTTCCATCTCAATAACAAAATGGCAAATTATAACCTGGAAATTACCTACCTAGGTTAGGTTAGGTTAGGTTAATAATATTAATAACCTAACCAGACTAAAGCATGTACCCCACCAAAAATATCTGGGCGTTACTCAGGACAGGACACTGACCTTTAAGACCCACTTAACCAACGTTGCATCTAAGATTGACTCCCACATCAATATAATTCAAAAATTGACAGGTACAGATTGGGGCGCTGAGTCCTTGACGCTGAGAACTTCCACTATTGCTTTAGTCTACTCTGTCACTGAATACTGTTCTCCGGTATGGTTTAATAGCACACATGCCAAAAAGGTGGATATCAAACTCAATCAAAGCATTCGCATTATATCATACACAATCAAGACTACCCCCCTCGACTGGCTACCCGTTCTCAGTAGCATCATCTCTCCCCAACATCGACGGCGAACAGCGTTACTTAAATTGTGGTCAAAACTCAGTAACAATACCACCCATCCAATCCATGAACACTCTAAATTCTGTAACAACCTACGCACACGTCGACTAAAGTCACGTAAACTGCTATTAAACTTAACACTGCCAAATATGACGCAGTACAATGCTGGAAAGATGAATGGGAAAAATCAGAATTAAGTAACTCTTCGCTCATTAAGAACCCTACAAACAAACAACCTGGCTTCAATCTACCACGGAGAATCTGGACAACCTTAAACCGATTACGTACAGATCATGGAAGAGTGGGATATTTCATTCACAAATGGGGCATTACTTCTAACCCAGGTTGTGACTGTGGTACCCCAACCAGAACATCGACCATATCATACGAGAGTGCCCTAAGAGAAAGTTCGGAGGAAAGCTCGAGGACATTTTTAACGCGACCCCTGAAACTATCGAATGGGTGAAAAGCCTGGACATTATAGTCATTATACTTTTATACTTTTATACTGTTGTTTATACCAATTGTCATTATATTCTATATTCTGTTTTGCTACCTGCTTATTACTATACATAAATTATATATATATTGTTACATTGTATATGCCATACGAATAAATAAAAAATACAAACCACGTCGAAATCGGTCGCGAATTCCTGGAGAAATCCTATTTTTTTCGATTTTTGAAGCCTGTTGGCTACTGTGTTACGCACAATACAACTTATTGATAAAAAGGTCGCATTCGGGCAAGTGTCGTTGTTGAGTCGGCCTGATTAATCTGCACTGCAACCCCCCGAAGGGTTAAGTGCATCGCGCGACACTTCTTGGCGCCCCCAGGTGCCGTGAACATTGCCCTTCTAGCGCCAGGTCAGATTGCAGTCAAGATACTTGACTTACGATCACGCACGGTGGCTTGGTGAACGCGGCCCAAGGAGACGAATCCGGGGACACTTGCATTGTACCAATTGACTGTTTTAATGTTGAGCAGTTGTTTGTGCGGTTTCACGTTGGATCCCTTTCCTTTATAATTTGTGGTGTTTACTTTCCCCCTTCCCCCCTTCATCGCATCCCTCAACTTATGAGTCATATATGTCTGTTATTGATTCTATTGTTTCAAAATACCCAAGTTACTCCTTTATTTTCTGTGGTGACTTCAATTTGCCTGAAATTACATGGCCCGTAAAAAGTGATGGTTTTCATTATAGTTCCTGTACTGGTCTCAGAGTAAGCTGTTTCCCTGAAGGATTTACCCTATCAGGTTTCTTGCAACATAATAGTGTCTTTAACTCGGTTCTTGATTTGGTGTTTTCTAATCTTAATTATTTGTGTGTTGAACCAGCAATTGAGCCCTTAGTGCCTCTATATCTCTACCGCCTTGGGAGCTCACCTTTTCTGGTCTCGATCTAAACTCCTCTGTGTATGCGTTATATGATGCTCTTCACTTCACTGTTCTCAAATACGTTCTAAATCCACATTTGTTTAGTCCTGTTTTCCCACATGGGTCTCTAAGCACATGAAGGATCTATTGTCTGGATTATTTTTATTTAATGTTAGTCATTCTATCTTTTTTCCACAATGGCTTCTATTTAGCCGCTCCTTGGATGAAGGTACTATTCCTGATATATGGAAACTGTGTTCTATTACTCCGGTACTGAAGTCAGGGGATGTATCTCTATTCTCTAGTCTCCAACTACAGGCCAATCTCTATTCTCTCCCACAGTATTCAACCAAGCGTCAACAAATTGTTAATGAAAGAACAGCATGGCTTCCGGTCAGGCCGCTCTACCACTACTTGTAATACAGTCTTTTTTAGTTATATATTTGAAGCTGTTAACCCTTTGACGAGTATAGACGGAAACTTCCGTCAATCAATAATGTAGCTCTATAGAGGAATGACGTATATTTTCGTCATGTTGTAATTACTAACGTCTTTGATTTTTAATACTAGGAGTAACACTTTCAGGAGTGCTGCTATCAATAATAAACTTATTATGAAATATTTAGCTAAATATCTTGACTAATTTGATAACTTAAATCCACACTTTCATCAGTGTTACCTACAAGCACGTATCCAGGTTAAATTTTCGAGGGGGGGGGGGGGGTTAAAATATTTTTAATACATGAACTAAAAATACATAGTTAATAGTTATATTATAATTTGATCAATAATATTATACACTACGAAATATTATACTGTAATAATGTATACAAAATATAAATAATTAAAAAAAAATTGTTGTAAAAAAATATTTAATACATGAACTAAAAATACATAATTATAGGATAATTTGATTTATAATATAATGCACTACAAAACATAATATAATAATGTATACAAAATATAAATAATTTAAAAAAATGGTTGAATACCTACAATTTTAATTCATAAAACAAAGTCAACTTTACGTGGCATTCTGGAAAATGTATTGATTATTTCTTCAATATCTATTTGGATACCTCGGTGGACTGACAATAAAGCTAAACCTGTTAGACGATCTCCACTGCAGCTATTCCTCAAATAGGTTTTTAATCATCTTAAAGTTGAAAAAGAACGTTCTGCAGATGAAGTGGACACCGGGAGTGTTGCAAGTATACATATTAAACACCAAATGTTTGGATAAAAGTCTTTCGACATGACGCCTAAAGTATCGATTACAGATTTAGGAAGTTATCTATTATTTTTAAAAATTCATCCGCTCGTATAACAGACAATTTATGGTATTCTGCATTAGAATGTAATTTAAAACATTCCAAAGCATCTTTCCATTTACTTACTAAAGCCCCCACTTTTTGATTTGAACCTTTTCCGGTGCACTCATTAGAAAATAAAACACATACTTTACATAATGCTCCTTTTAGTTGTTTTGAATAAACTAACCAAGAAATTTGGAATTTTAATTTTCTTTTTGACACTATCGGAAAATTATAATTTGAAGAAGGAAGCCACGGATTTTTTAATAAATCTTACTTAAATTTATCATCAGTTATTCTAACATCTACATACCGTCCAATATCTCGAAGTTCTGGTAAATCTACAGTACTTTCGATTGCACCGTTTTCAATAGTAAACGCACACGGAACTTCTTCTGTAGTAATTAATTCTGTATCCAATTCAGTTTGATTGGTTTTCTTATGAAAAAAATTAAATATTGACGACTGAGATGGCAAACTTCGTTTCATTTTTCAAAAAATGTATAAAATATAATGCAATAGTAAACAGCTACACAGACACATACTTATTAAGAAATAGAATCAAATTAAATACACGTTATATTTTATATTATTACTGAACAGTGAATACTTCTGAAAAACACACTGAACGATAATACTGGCGAACATGGAACAATTAAATAGCTAGAAAAAGATTAAGTCCGTCTTCCGACAAGATTGCGATAACATTATATATATTATATATAATATATAAGTATTAAGTATCCGTTTGCTATTTTCTAAAAAAGATAACGTGTAATGACTAGAGGAAAATTTACAAATTTTTCTTATACATTGAATTAATATGCAAAACTTTGAGTTCTTTATAATTTTGAGATGTAGATCCTTCTAAACTGTATTTATTTAGACATATTCTAATAATTTTATTTTGTTGAAGTTGCAGTGGTTTAATAGCTTTTTGGGTAAGACCTCCCCAACATCGAATGCCATATTGAAAGACTGCTTGGTATAATGATAAATATATATTACGTACAATGTTAATAGGAAAAATGTATTTTAGTTTACAGAATTTATACACTGATATTCTTAAACGCATAACTATGTTATCTATATGTACATTCCACCTTAAATTGTCATCAAAGGTAATTCCCAAGTATCGTGTGAAAGGTACTTTTGAGATTGATTTACAAATATTATCATTACTTGCTCCTTATTTCTACAATAATGGTCAGTGATTTTATCGAAAGGTACATAATCTTTTTTCGGAGAGATAACATAATTAGTATAAAATCATAATAAATAATAATTATATTCATATTAAGCATGTTTTAATTTTTAATTATCATTTTAACTACTCAGTACTCACTTAAGTGTTCTTAATTTAATCCTAGTTAATAGGTATTTACATAACGCAATTGCCATTTTACAGTACATAACTATTTTTTTTACACATTTTGAAAAATTGCTAACCTTGACAGTACTTTCATTTTATTTTTACCTATCATATCTTTATTTATTCTTTTAGTTTCATGAAATGTTCTTATTCTAATATAACATAGTGAGATCGTTTTTATTAATTGTATTGTGTGGTTGAATTCTGAATCGAAATTATGATTATTCAGTGATGGGAATAATCGATGGGTCACAAGTTGTCCAAACACAGATGCAGCCAAGTTTTGAGCAAAATCAAATTCGTTCATTTCAGCGATATCATGTATGGCTCTTTTATAAAGCAGTTCTGTCCTACGACAAACTGTAATGACATCTGGTGCAGGAATGATAAGTCCACCTCGAGTCTTTTGTAGAATTAACTTGATTCTATTGTCATGCAGATTGCCACCATACAAAGCTGCATTACAATCTGTACATTTGATCCGTTTTATAACCTAAAATATATTATTTATATTAGTACTACTACCATAATATTATGAATAAAATTAAATACTTACCATTCGAACTACATATCCGGCTATTAACCCAATAGCATTATCCATGTAATCACTTAAAACAAAGTAATTTGGTGGCATTTCAATAGATATAAGTTCATTTGCTTCTATATCTTCCAAGTCTGGTAAGGTATTACAGATATCTTCTTCAATAACTAAACTATCAATGTCTTCAAAATCTGTATCAAACTTTCTTTGATATGTTATGTTTAAGGTATCACCTGGGTCAGCAAGTGTATCTGAATACCGTGTTGTCTTAGTTCGAGTAGCAAATAATATTTCAGTATTATCCATGGCTACTACATTTCCAACTGATGTTTTAATTTGGTGGTGTGCTAATAATTTTTTATATGCTGCACTAAAGTGACGTGGAGTTGGATTCACACACCAGCCTCCCCTAGCTCTTACTGCATTGAAAAACAACTCAATATGGTCCTGTGATACTTTATATGTAAGGAGATACTTGAAATAATCATTTTTTGTTGTAATTTCATCAAAAATTTTAACAATACTTATTGATGAAATAATTACTCCTAAAAATGACATCAGCTATACTAGCACTAAGTGTCTGCGCTGCAAAATTGACTTTCATCGGTCTTTCTCGCCATTCAAGATGTGATTTTTTGAGTTTATTGCCAGCGTGTAGACCTTCTGCCTCTTGTAAGTTAACCAATCGTTCAATAAAGCTCCAATCAATTTTTTTACCGTCAGGGTTGTACATAACACGCATTGAACTCCATGTATTTCTTATAAGTTTTAAAGCATGACATGGATCCAAAATACATTTTATTGATTTTGTGTCATCTGATGGATGAGGAAAATCAATTTTCAAGTCCTTATATGATAATTTTGCTCCAAGTATTGAGGCCATATTAATATGTATTGTTGGTCCATCAAATGTAAGAGAAGGAATTTGTACTCCTATAGAAATAAAATATTATGTAAGTTAATAATAATCAAAATTATTTTTAAAATAGATATACTTACCGATTTCAAACAGCTTTATTAATGCATCCTTAACAATGTTAGCAGTGTCTTGAGCAGTCATACCCTTATGAAAAAAGTATCCAATGGGTACCTTCCAGTGAGAATCTAATGCAACTACTAACAACACAAGTACCTGAGTTGCTGCTTTCAATGTAGGATCAGATGTCTGGTAATCTTTACCAATACTACTAAATCCATGACAAATTTGTCCGTCCCATTCTATTTGTTTTTTTTATATGCATTTCATCTAGCATTAATGAACAAAAAAGGGTTTTACCGTTAGCTCGATACTCTTGACTTTTAATACTTAATGACTTAAATGATTCATCAGTTAATCCTTCTTTCACTTTTATTTCATGGTACCAAGATCTTAAAGTAGTGGGATGTGGTAAACTTTGTCCAAATTCGCTACGTATAAAGTTATAAGCCTTTGGTGAATAAAAGTTTAGTGTTAATGCGAATGCTCTTAACTCTTTAGTATAATTTTTCTTTTTTTGTACGAGTTTATTCACAATTTCGTTCATTGATGATGAGAAATTATTTTCTATGAATGAAGATACCTTTTCTTGTAAACCACATTTCATCTTTAAATTTCTCAACAAAACTTTTACTTTTTTAACTTGTGTTATATTTCGTTTTGATTTTTGTATAGCATTTTCAGTCATCAATTTTGTCATATGTTGTTTTTCAGTTGTGGATTTAAACTTTTTCCTAATTTTACTAGGTGAACACTCATATGAATGGTCTAACAAAATGTCTCGTCTTGTCTTACTTCTAGGAGTCAACTCTAATAAACAAATTAATATATTATTATAATCAACAATAAATATATTTTAAAAGCTTTAAGAATTTAAGATTAATTATTTAACTAACCACATAATGGTTGGACAATAGTTTGTAGATGGTTAGTTGTTTCATTGTTGTCACAAGAGCAATCAATCGGTAATTCAGCTTCTTTTACCAAAATTTCAGCAATTTTATTTTCATAATATCTTTTTAAACTTAGCAAATATTTTCTTGTATCACAAATAGAACATACACTACTATTGAAGTCCGGTGACTAAAAAATAACAATATAATGCAATAATTTAAATTTAAAATTGCTTCCAAAATAGTTAGGTTAAAATAAATAATTTATTAGATAGTCGGTAGATATATTTCATAGGTACCTGTAAAATATTTAATTGCTGTTCATTAATTCTTTTTGGTGTTAACATAATACTATTTTCATTGCAGTCATAATAATCCTAATTTTATATTAAAAAAAATATCTATTAATTTATAATTTGTTTAACTATTAAGTATAAATATGAAATATAACTTATCTATACATTTAATACCTGTTGTACTAACTCATTAACTGATTCATCATTATTAATGCCAGGTGATGTAATAAAACTTCTACTAAGAGATAACTGGTTTGAGTTCAACTTTAGATCTTCACTATCAATGTCTGGAGTTATTACAGCACTTAGTTCATTTTCCTATATATTATATTAAATGTATTTTTAATTAATTTTAGTCTAATTAAAAGCCATAAATGTAATGCATTTTAAAGTATTATTTGTTTACCAACAAACGCATTGAAAATGCACTTAATTTTAGTTTTTTTGTGTATGAATTTGGATTTTGAATATCATTTTCTTCAAAGTGATTTTCACACACAAAATACAACTTATTTGGTATAGATTCCTTAACACCAATTATTTCAAACCATTTCGTACGAGCAGGATCAGATAGAGGAACTCTATTATAAAAGTATATAATGTGTTTTTCTGCATTAATATATAATTTTTGCATATTTAACTAAGTGACTTACCTAAACATGCTAATACCTTTTTGATTAGCTTGTGAGCAAACACAACATTTACGAACCATCATAAATTGAATAATTATCGATATGAAAGCTCAAAATATAAGTAACTTAAGTAGTACTCTCTATTTAAATATAACAATAATATTCAACTGATAATAACTTATTAAATAATAGAATACAGTTTATATATATTTATTCTAGCCTAGATGTTAGATATTCATAATACTATTATAAATTAAAAGCAATTATCGTAGTAATATCAAGAGTAACATCAACATGTACGTTTCGCATGATAAAACTTAAATTAAAGCGGTAAAACATGAATATATATAATATATGATAAACAATTTTCATGGACATTTCATTATCTCTGCTATGACTCGGAATGCATATGGCGACTTTCTATCCGGCTCATATTTTCATTAATACACGCGTTCCATGTATTTAGTTCAGTGGTATACAGCTCTAGAGACGGTGTTAGTAAGTTTCGCTGTCCTTTGTCACGAGTCTACGAGACCCACATATACATAATATATAGTATATACATTCGTACAACATCGTATTTTTAGTCTTCCGCAACTCTAGTCTCATATTGACAATATGTAAATATGATCTATTTTATATTACACTAATATAAACGCGTTTAAAATGTATGCTTAATTTATTTATATTTTTAAATAATTTGTCATATTTGTTTGGTCATGGCCGGAAACATTTTCGCATTGTTACTGATGGGTAGTACGGTATCCACAGCCATCGAGCTAACGTTCTTGGGTTTCGTAGTTTTCCCATTCAACGATGACAAAAGTTTTTTCCTCAACACTCGCTTGACCTTTACTGGCCTAGTAAACATAATTGTATTTTCAATTGAACAAAATTGAACTAATTTATCCACGCTTTTACTTACTGTTTTTCAGCTGGATAAGTTAGTTTCGTTCCGTCCTCCTGGTGTAATGTTGTATCTCTCGGCAATGAAACAATGGTCGGAATTGCTTTTAAAACACGTTTCACTGGTTTTATCTTCTTCGTTTCAACTTTATTCACGGTGGTGGAATTTGGATTTCTCACCCCTGGTGACTTCTTGTTAGAGTGAGGCTTTTGTATTTTGATTAACGGTTGTTTTGTGGCCATGTTTTTTTTCGTAGACGGTTTTTGAGCCGGTGTTTTCGCGACCGATTGCGAGATCAATTTTTTAACAGCCTTTTTTGGGGCATTCAGTGCTTTCTGTTGTATTTTGGGTTTTGCTTCCGTGACCGCATTTGTCGCGTGGTTGGTTCCAACGTTCACCGACAGTTTTCCAATATCATCAGTTTGTTTTTCTGCGACCTTTCGGTAGATTTTCTTAACTACGTGTCCTTTTCCATTTTGAGTTTTTTTCCTGTCACCTGAAACCAGTTTGACCTTCGATAATTCACTCATTGTTTGTTTTAGTATATGTTTGGTTTTAAAAATCGATTGAATAATTTTTCGTCTAAGACTGAGTATTTCAACTTTGTTTAATTTATTCAAAATATGTCACCATCGTTAGCAACAATGACCAGCCAGCTACACGTTTCAATAACGGTTTAATTTTCAAACAACGAATATTTTAATTATTTTCCAAAAATAATTTCTACAAAAATGTACAGTACCTAGGTGCATTTTGGTACAGATTGGTATGTATCCGGCCCATCGAGATTTTCACTTCTATAAGCGGCCAATTTACATATTCAGTGGCCTAAAATTAAGTCTATAATTATTACGAGCTTATAGGTGGTCAATCGTATTTTAAACATGAATTTATTTTCACTCACACTCACACGACCGGCCCACCGAGATTTTCTCGGCAGCTCGCTTAACCAATCCGGCCATGGACTAGATAGCATACGACACGCAGGGCCGTATTCAGAGCAGGGCAAGAGGGCATGGGCCAGGTTTGCAATTCTTAGAGTTCTAAGAGGGGCTCAATTTTCAATACTACTTATGTAATATTTTTCACGTAATATTTGAAAAATGTATATTTATTTTAATGACTTACTATAGAAGAGCTTCGCTCTATTTTATTATATAAAAATTATTTATGTTGATGTCTGTGGTGGAAATACATGCGCGAGTCTTAACCGGTTTGTATTATATTTTTACGTAGGTATGATTTAATATTGATATGCGAATTATATCATAAAATTCTTTTTTAAATCTAAGATTTTAAAATGCAATATAAGATTCCTTATAAGATTATCTATCTTTATCAAAAAAAAAGAAAATGTCTACAAGCAAATAAATTAAATTTTTATGAGCATTTGAAATTTAAATTTTTACAACATTGGATATTCACTCAATTTCTCATGTAGCGATTTTCTTATTTTGGTGTAATTTAAAAACGAGTAACTGTAGATACATGGAAATTTCACTGAATGTTTATTTTATCAATTTTTGTACTTGATACAATTTTCAAAATATTTTTACTTGTTTTGAGCTGTTTCCGGACAATTTCATATTTCATATTTCAATTTTTTTTATATTTTTTTTTTTATGAATATCATTTAAGTTTTATCTGTTGGGCCAAAAAGTGTAAAAATTTAATACAAGGATCCTGATATATTGTTACAATAGCAGTTGAAAAATATTAAAAATGCATAGGCACAATTTCTTTTTACAAGCATTTAAAGATTTTTGCATTTAAAGAGTTTTGACAAAATTCATCAAATTTAAAATTGAATAATTATTTTGTAGTTAAAAATTTATAAAATGTTCAACTTTTATATCTAAGGATTGAACATTCAAAACAAGATTCCACGTAAGTAGTTTATTCTGTTATCAAAAAATTCTAAAAAATACAGAAGGACAGTTTATTTTTAAAGGTAATTTTAAGTTAAAATTTGGACAAAATTACATAATAAAAAACCTAGAATAAATATTTTAGTTATTTTGTTGTGATTGTATAATTTTATTCGAGGGTAATTGAAAATTCTAAAGTATACTATTATATATCTATTATAGTATCACGGTTTGTTATTGATGTATAACAAGTTATAAGTACCTAATGACTATTGCGATATGATTAATTTGGAATTTATTATAGGTAATTTTTTTTAATATCATAGATAAATATATAATATGTCTTATACTTAGACTGACATACCGTCTCCTCTCAGAATCGTTTTTCTTCTACAATTATATTATATCAATTTGAATTCAAAATTAACACCATCCATTATACAGTGGCCCAATTATAACCTACTGTACGGCAGAGCGACTTTTTCAATTTAATATTTAGAATAAAACAGATTGAAACAAATCGAAAGCGTTTAATCCCAATTATTGAATGCATTATGTTATGTTATGAATATTAATTAAATTATGTATAAAATCTTTAAAATATTATGTCATATATTATTTATAAAAATTATTTAAAAATATATTGTTTTTAGGTATTATTTTCGTATGGTTTACTATTATGTAAATTACTACAAAGTAAATTCATTGATTTAAAGGAAGCTATAGATCTTGCAGATGATAATGTTACCGTACTCAGTGGCGTATTTTCAATTTTTTTCTGGGGGTGGTCCAATAATTCCAACATAATATAGATATAGGTACTGATTTATAGAAATAGTTTTTAATAGATTATAAGAATAAAAAATAGTTGTTTTATTATATTTTATAATTTTCAAGTACAAAATCCAAGTTTTTTTTTACAAAGTTTTATTTTTTTATTTGAAGACATATTTATTCCAATTCCAATTTCCAAACAATAAATGGATACAAATAAATTATAAATTATACAACTATAAAAAAAATAAATTTGATAGCATTTATTAAATAATTATGAAATGTTAGGTTTTGGCAAATCTGTATTTACACCTATCACAAATGAGAGACAATAATTATTCTCAGTACACGTTGACAATTAATATTATTTCGATAGCCGTTTAATAATATTATGTTGTCAACTTCGTGTTAACACGTAAAAATAATGAAAGGTTTAAATTGTAGAAATAATATGACTTTCATGGGCGTAACTAGGATTTAATAGCTACAGGGGCTAGAGTCCTAGAAAACCCAAGTCCAAGATAATTTGTGGGGGGCTTTGCCCCCCACACCCCCCCCCCCTCCAAGCATCCCTAGCATTTAGTAATCACAAGTCCTCTAAAATCAAAATTTAAAATAAACCATAGAATCAAAGTATAACCTAGTCAATAAAAACAAATTTACATTATAATTTATAACTGTATACGCCTATATTTTGATGAAAACAGTTTTAAAATATCATCATCGTTTATTACATTAGATAGTTCTCTTTCTATATTAAGTATAGCCAGATCACTAAATCTGTTTTGGGTCATAGTTGACCTAATGTATGACTTAATTCTCCTCATACAAGAAAAAGATCGCTCACACGTAGCTGAGCTTATGGGTATAGCAAATGCAGTCTTTAACAATGAATAAACATTTGGATAAACTTCTTGTTGTACAACTGATTTTAACAGTTGAGATTGTGTTTTTTCTTCAACATTCATACAGCTTATGGATTTGTCTGAATTTTGAGCATTTACCAAACACTTTTTTGCTACTTTTAGTTCACACTTTAATGCATCTTCATCTATATTAAATAAAGACTAGAACAAAAATCAAAAGAACTATGTTTAGGTCAAAGTATTATTTAAATGTAAAATTATAAAAAATACTCCATCCATCACCGATTATGTGTCAAATTATTTTAATATTAGTTGGCTGCTATTTAATTACCTTATAACTATTAATAAAACAGGAACTTTTTTCATAATCAAGTTCTAAAAAGCTTTCAACTGACTGGGCTAATTCTAAGCTTTGTGTTGAAAATCTGGATTTCATATTGACTATTAAATTATCAAGTATAGGGAAAAATGCATGAACTTTCCAAAAATCAATTGAAGTAATTTCACTATTTTGTTGAAAGTTCTGATCAATAGCACTTGTTGTGGTGCTCACCACATAATCATTTAGTTGTGTTACCTCTCTTCTCTTTCTCTTGGACACTGAAAAAATTAAATAATATTATTTATAATTGCATAAATTTTAAACTTTAGTTAAATAAGTGATA